TTGTGCCACTGTGGTCCACATTGCTAGAGCTAGAGGTGGGGAGAGGCAGCATGAAGTTATATTTATGGAAGATGTGTGCCTTGTTTGCCTTGCTTTTGTAAGCTCTTACTAGCACTCTCCCCCAAACAAATATTCAAAGGAAGCAAAGACAGTTCAATAGAGATATACTTTTATGCCTGGCTTCTCAGGTGCTTGATATATTCAAGAGGGCCCCATGTATATTTACAGATCAATGTGCCAATTATTTAAGCACACACATCCTAGTTAGTTTCTTCTTAGATACTTTTACATTAAAATACTGCTTATTCCTTAATCAATCTCTTCCTTGTTGGTCTTTTTTTTTTTTTTTTAAACCAGTGAGACAGAGTCTTATTCTGTCATCCAGGCTGGAGTGCAATGGCACGATCATGGCTCACTGTAGCGTCGAACTCCTGGGCTCAAGCAATCCTCCCACCTCAGCTTCCTGAGTAGCTGAGATTATAGGTACATGGCACCATGCCCTGGGAATTTTAACAAGTTTTTTAAATTTTTTATTGTTCGCAGAGACAAGGTGCCACTGTATTGCCCAGGCTGGTCTGGAACTCCTGAGCTCAAGTGATCCCCCTGCCTTGGTCTCCCAAAGTGGTGAGATTATAGGCGTGTGCCACCACACCCAGCCTCTTCCTTGTTTGTTTTGACTGCCATACCCCTAGAAGCCCAGATTCTCTTTCTAAGAGCAAAAGAGATTCTAGAGAGACAAGAGAGGTTCAGAGGCTGAGATTCAGGCTGCGCTCCACCTCTCCCTTCTCTAACTGGAGCTTCTGTACCTTGGAGATTAGTCCTATAGCCATAAACTTTTAAACTTCATCTCCCCACTAGACTAGCCATTAGTGGAAGCAGGAAATAGGACTTCTATTTCTTGTCACCCTCACCAGCACCCAACCCAATGTTCCAGACACCAACCTAGTTCACGCCTGTGTTGGTTTGGCTGTTAGGGGGCAGTGGGTAGACAGTGTCGGGCCATACTCCAGCATGATTGGGAATACAGACAACCTGTGTCCAGCCTCTCCCATCTGTAAAGTTGGCTTCTAGCCATCACAACAAGGTGGAAGGAATGGCTGGACATGCTGCCAGCTACCAGTTTGAAAAGTGTCTTCTGTTGTAGGAAAACCACAACCTCCCCTATCCCCACTTCCCTTGTTCCCTGTGGCCCCTAGGCCAGGTTCTGGAGAACCCTGATTGCCAAACAGGAAAGTACAAAATAGCACACATTTGAATTACAGAGGAGAAACTGGAGCAATACAGACATATTAATACACAAACCAAACAGGAGGCTCTCGGGTTGGCCAGCAATTCTACTTTGGAAGGATTCTGATAATCTATTTGGAGGGCAGAATGTCATTTAATTTTAGTTCAGTTTGGTGAAGTTTTGTTTTTGTAAGAAAAACATTGATGTGGACTCTTCACTGGGCCATCTCTGCCTCAGATGTTTGGAACCATGACTGTGATATTGTTTGGCTGGTCCTGGTAGGCCATTCTTGGGTTACACATGGGTGATGAGATAGGATGGGAACCTGTGATGGAGTAGGCACTCCTGGCCCCAAAATACCTCCTACCCTTGTTCTGACTACTTCATCTGTGCTTCTCCACCTCTCTCTGAAGTTCTGCAAGTCTAGAATATTTGTATGAGGTTGCCTTTCTCCTCATCCTAGGGAGAACTCCCAGGCCTTAGCTTACAGAGCAAACACATGGGGTTTGGGATGGAATACACACTGTTCTTAGTGCTTATATTAATATTACCCTTACAGCAAATTTATGAGGCATTGTTGCCATCATTCCCATCTTATAGATTAGGAAACCAAGGCATAGAGAGGTTAGCAACTTCCTGAAGGTCAGCCAGCACCAGGGTTGGGATTTGAACCTTGGCCATCAGGCTCAGGAGACTAGGCTTTTCAATGCAGTACTATGTTGCTGTCCCAACAGTAATAAGCACATCACTTGTAAGCCACATGAGAGGCACTGGGCTAAGAAAGCCAGAGAGATTTAGGAGGAAAGAACCCCAAAGAGATCATACAGTAATGGTGGAACCCAAACACCAACGCAGGTTTCTGACTACAAAAATGTATTCTTTTCACTAAACTATCCTTAGATGAAAAGGTTTCAAGCTCAGGCCATTCAGGGTAAGGAAACGAGTTGGTTGTAGGTGCAGAAGCTTCCAGCAGTACCCAGCTTTACGGGTCAGGTCTGCTTATGACATCTTATGTCTAAATCAAGTCAAGCCATTTTTTAACCAGGATGTTGCTATTTAAAGGAAATCCCTTTTGCCTTGCCCCTCCTGCCTCCCTGCCAAGACTCACTCCCTTGTTTACCTTCTGTGTTAATGAAGCAGGGGAAGATGGGTCCAAATCACTTCAGGAAGAGTCAGTGATAAAGGCCTGACAGATATGCCTCTGCTCAGAGGTGAAGCTGTTATAACCTGTCTGTGAGAGTTAATATAGAGGAAACAGTCCCCAGGGCCTCCGGGAGGCTGGCATGTCGCCGAGAATACTACTGCAATGTTAGAAACAGAGGTGGATGCAGGATCTTGAGAGACATTGGCCTGGGATCTTGCCAACCTCTCGTTTTTACAGCAGACTTGGAAACAACCACTCGCCTCCTCCTAATTTGAGCTGCCTCAGCTAAATTGCTAACTTTGCCAATGACTATGTGTTTTGCCATCCCTGGCAGGGAAGGTCTGAAGGGGCCATTGATTCATCTGAACCCTGACTTCATGTCTGACTGGAAGGGTAGGATCCAAGCTCATTTGGAAAGAAACAAGACAGAATCCAGTAGGAATGTGGAATCCATTCTTAGTAAAGAGTTTTTTTTAAAAAAGAGATTAGAGTCAAAGAATTGGGAAACATAGTGGAATATACACAATGAGGAAGGATAATGGAGCTACCAGAATGTGTGTGTGTGTGTGTGTGTGTGTGTGTGTGTGTGTCTGTGTGTGTGTCTGTGTGTCTCTGTGTGTATGTCTGTGTGTGTGAAGGGTATTTTACTTAACAAGCATGTATTATCTACTCCTTTTTGGGCTAAGTGCAACTTGAGATAAGAAAGAACGATAGGATCTCAGGGCTGAAGGATTTCAATTCGTAATTCCAAGCATGACTGCACAGGCAAGCCCCATTCCAATTTCTGTTGAGGTCCTAGGATGGAAGCATTCAGCACCCCTACTGCACCCCCTGATAGAGGCACTCTCTGCCCTGATGGCAGCCCCCCTGCCTTTTGCTGTTGGTTCTTATTGTTAGATGAATTTTTTTCTTTGGTGGAGCCCATAATGTTGCTCTCTGCAATTTCCAGTTTTTATTTTCAAGACCTGTCCATTTGCTCCTCTGTGGGCTGATTTTACAAATACTTGAAGACAGCTCTTGGGTGCTTCTTTTTCACACAAAGTAGAAAGAGAAGCACAGCCTGATAGAATCTAAAAGTCAAGTCCTCTCTTCTTTGTGTTCCCAGTGCATGTGGTAAATGTCTCTCTTTCAGCCCTCGACCTACTGGGTGTAATTATTTTTGTACTCATGGTCAACTAATATCTACCAGGTAAACTCCCTTCTGCCAGACATTGTAGTGGGAAATTTCATAAGATATTTTGTTCAATCCTCATTCCAATTCCCTGATGTAAGGAGAGTTACACCCTCTTTATAGATGAGAAAACTGAGGCTCCAAAAGAGGAAGTGGCTTCACTTCTCACTCAGTTTCCTTATCTAGATAATGTGGATGCTAATACTGCCCTTATAAGGTAGTTAAGAGCAGTAAATAAGTGAAAAGTACATGGCACATAGTAGGTATGCAATACATAGGAGCTGTTTTCATTGGAACAGTCCTTCCATGGTTAGCCCATTTCATTTTTGGTGATGATAGTGATGATGATGATATTAATAACATTTGTTTAGTGCAAGCTACGTCCAAGACAGTGTCAAGAGTTTCACATTTGTCATCTTGACTAATCCCTTTAATTCAGGAGATTAGTATCATTATGATTCCTGTTTTACAGAAGAAGAGACCAGAAGCAAAGATCAGAAAAGTTCAATCTAACTCCTAAGCCCCCACTCCCAATTGCTCCTTCATCTACCACATCCCGTAAAGCTTGGACTCTATTGTATCCCTTGCTATCTAAGCACTGGATACCAATGGCTCAACCAGAATGCTAACTGGGGGCACTGTGGGAAGTTGGGGTGCACCACAATCCTGTGGACATGTCAAGTTGTGGCGAGTTAATGCATGCAAAGGAAGAGCCCCAAATGAGGTGGTTAGGAAGGGGTCCTAGTGGAAAGAGAACAGTTCGGGGAGGCCATGGCATTGTCAGGTGGGCAATGGAGAGGGGACAGTGGCTCTAACAGGAGAAGTAGATTTTGGATTTTGGTAAAGCCACAAAGTCAGGAAAACCCCCAGGGTCAAGGGGTGACTATAGCCTAGGAAGTTCTGGAGCTGGCAATTGTGAACATTTGGGGTAATTAAGTTGAATGGTGGCTGCTGCTTTTTCCTCCAACCTTCCTCTTACCCCAGGGAATTCCCAGTCCTTTTTTTTTTTTTTTTTTTTTTAATGAGGCAGAGTCTCACTTTGTTGTCAGGCTGGAGTGCAGTGGCATGATCTCAACTCACTGCAACTTCCACCTGCCAGGTTAAAGTGAGTCTCCTGCCTCAGCCTCCTGAGTAGCTAGGACTACATGCGCGTGCCACCACATTCAACTAATTTTTATATTTTTAGTAGAGACGGGGTTTCTCCATGTTGGCCAGGATGGTCTCAATCTCTTGACCTTGTGATCCACTCGCCTCGGCCTCCCAAAGTGCTGGGATTACAGGCCTGAGCCACCACGCCCGGCTGGGAATTCCCACTCTTATAAACACAATCATCTATTCCAAAGTAAGAGAACAATTCCAGGCCCCACGGAGGTTAACACGCCCGCTCTGAGATGCTGTTCCTGATGTGGCTGAGGCCTCCCTAACCTCCTGTTGTCTCCCTCTTGCTGTCTCTGCAGTGATCCGGGCCAAGGTGGTGGGGAAGAAGTTGGTAAAGGAGGGGCCCTTCGGCACACTGGTCTACACCATCAAGCAGATGAAGGTAGGTAATGTCATCAGCCTGGCTCCAGGAGGGTTTCTGGGTTTTTGCCAGAAAAGACCTGGCCAAGGGAGACAAAGTGGGTTGGAACTGGGGTGTGTGTCTAAGCACCAGCCAGACCCAGCCCTTCTGACTGCTGGAGAGGGTGCTGCTCAGGCAGCATTAAGGGATGAATGGGGGGGGGCACGGGGCTGCCTTGTCCCAGAGCCCATGCAGGTGTAGTCACTCCAAGGCACTTGTTAGGAGGCTCAGCTCTGGAGCCAGATGACAGTGAGCCTTGTTAGCTGGTAACCATGAGACCATGGCCAAGTCACTGCCCCTCTCTGGGCTTTAATCTTCCCAAATGTGAAATCAGGGTGTTGAACTAGATTATCTCTACAGACTCTTCTGAGCTCTGACTATCCTGGATTCAACAGTGCTTACAGGTCTCAAGCAGCCACTGAGGTTACAGCTTAGGTTTACACTCCTCAAATCTTTACACAAAACCTGTGCCGATCACAGGAAGCTGATCCCAAGGTAGGAACTGCACTTTCTTTCCCTATTTTCCCAGCTGATTGTCTTCTTGCATCCTAGCTAATTAGCAACATTTGCTAAGCATATTCTTATCATTAAACATATTACCTAGCATATGAACATCATGAAGCACAATAAGGAGGTATGTCTTAAGAAAAAGAACACCAGGCCGGGCGCGGTGGCTCAAGCCT